CTAACCACTACACCACGGGGCGGTGAATGTTATGTAGAATGAGCTGGGTTCAACTCCCGTTTTGTACAGTATTCTAGTTACCTTGTTATGTGACAGGGGCTGTTCATAATAATAATAATAATGAGTGAATTTGTAACGCGCCAAACTCCACGCCAGCTGGTATGCTCATGGCGCTACAAGTAAAGTTATTTGGGTGAGAGTCTAGACAAAGTACTTCTTAAATAGAAACGGTTTGAGGAGAGTTTTGAAGGAGAGCAGGCTTTTGGCTTTTTTGAGATCTTCGGGCAGAGAATTCCATAGAACAGCTGATTGATAGGCAAATGATCTGAATCCAAATCGTTTTAGTCTGTATCTAGGCACTGTGCACAGAATTTGGGACTGGGATCTGAGAGTTCTGGCTGGATTATACTGGCTTACAAGTTCACACAAATAGGATGGCGCGATACCGTTAAGGCACTGGTATGCGAGTACAAGAACTTTAAACTCAATTCTCCGAGATGGGCAGCCAGTGTAGGGATCGTAGAAGTGGCTGTATATGTGCAAACTTTGGAGCAAGACACACAACTCGGGCTGCAGTATTTTGTATTTTTTTGGTAGCTTTGAAACAGATTCTGGTGACACACCACACAGTGGGCCATTGCAATAGTCCAGGCGTGAGAATATCAGTGTTCGAACTAATCCAGGAAATCCCGAAGTGATACCGGTTTGTCCATGGTCTGTTCTGTTTATTTATATGTGACTTTATATATGTGTGTGCATGGAACGGAGAGTAAGTCACAGTAGTCTAGAGTGGAGTGGAAGTAACCGTGTGAGGACTTGGGGCTAAAGTGGAGGGGATGAGTATTGTAAAAATAGTGTGGGTTGGGGTGGAGCAGGAGACTGAGGTGAGGTGAAAGTGGGTTTAACGTCGTGCTTGAGAATATTTCGCTCATATGACGACGTGCATGCGTATGTATGTGCGGCTGCTTGTACTAGCCCAGACTTAAGCTGCGTTTTTTTATAGTGCTAGCCCACTGAGATACCACGCCGCAGTGAAGCATGAATATCCCACTCAGACACATTATACTGACTCCGAGCCGACCAGTCCTTTTTGTATCCATTAATGCCGAGCGCCAGGCAGAGACCAACAAGTACCGTATTTTAACGTCTTTTGGTATGACGCTGTCGGGGAGTGGTGGGAGGTGGGTCAGAGTAGAGTAAAACACAAATGCGGGGAAGGGGTGTAGTCGTGGGGTACTGTGGAGCGGTAGCTGTCTCTCCTCGCTCTTGCTTCACAACTCTATAAGGATCTACACCAAAACGTTGCATATTATAATAAAGAAGGCGCCAGCCATAACGCATCTTGACTTTAAAGTTAATTCCCTATACATCATTGGTCTGACATGTGCCTTGATGTCTTATGCAGCTCCAACTGATAACCACCCTTGATGTTCCTTTGACAGGCTGTCACCATCAACATGACATTTACATCAGCTGGCTCATGTTCGACATGTGGGGGAACTGTGCCTTGACAGCTGACATCAGATGGCCAGTTCAATCAAGCAGAACCTGTTACATCACTGGACAACCTCCCTGACCAATCCACTTGAAGACACTGATCTGAGTACAACAATTAATCTAAGTCAGTGTTTAGGTGTGGAACTTCAATAACATCCTTCCCCTAGTAAAGTAATTAGCTTACAGACAATAGTTGGACATCAAATGCAAAATTGTGAAATGGGAAATCCTACTTTGTAGACATGTCATGTTGTCACTGGAGTTGATGAATGGTAACAAATACTTCTAGTAATATGTAGATAATATAGGCAATGGAGACAGGGAGAATAACAAGGACCTGGGAAATATGAGAGTCAAGGGGAATAAGACAAGACTTGGGAAATAACAGTCAAGATAAATAAGAGAGATATGGGTGAATAACAAAGTCTGGGGAAATAGGAGCCAATATTAATAACAGAGACATGGAAAAGAAGTTGAATGTGAAAGAATACAGATAAATAGCGGTCTGTAACTATCGAGTCTGGATCAGACAATCCAATGATCAACAGCATGAGCATCGATCTGAAAACTGGGAAATGATATGTGTCAACCAAGTCAAAGGACCACCCGATGTTTGCCTCTTTTCGACAAGCATAGTAAGCCTTTTGTGGCAGAGACATGGAAAAGAGATGTGAAAGAATGAATAAATATATCTAAGAAACAAATATATAATCACAGGAAAATGTCCATATCAGTTTTCATGTTAGCTTTATAGGCTGTGGCGATTTTAATGTGCATTTTCCTGTGGATTTATTGTCTCAGATAATAAAAATAACAAGGGATAATATCTTTGAATGTGTGGGGAATGACACACAACGGATAAATGGGGAATGACAAAGAAAAAAACCAGATCTGAATGGGTAATAACAGACTTAAATATTGTGGCTAACCCGATGCTGAGTCTTAGGAAGTAGTGGGAAATAATGCTAGCAAGTCATACAATGGAAAACACAACTCACATGAAGGAAATTTTTTTTATTGAAAAGGGAAAAACATTTTGCTAAATACATTCAGAACTTTGATTTACTCGTTTACGAAGAACTTATTTGGCATCTAGTCCATACACATATGGAGTTGAGGACATCTTGTTTATTATGAATGAATGGCACTTGTACTTGACACATGGGCACCTGGCAAACTGAAAGAATCATCAGTCTTGCTTCCACCATCAGGTGTTGCATTGTTAAAACCCCATTGTTACATAAACTCCAAACTGATTCTACTCCAAGAACTGACAAAAAAACTGAAGCAATGTCTCATCCACACTAAACAAGATGTGATCCTTAAACCCAACCATAAAAATCCAAAAATATTCAATAACTCATATCTTTCTTTGCACCAACAAATATGCACAGGTGTAATTTCAATAGTATGTGGAGAAAGCACTTTTCATACACGATATATTCCAATACATCCAAACATGTTTCTATTTCAGTTGCTCTTAATATAGATTACACCAAATCCTGTTCGCTCCTAATGCTGACACATAACTGCAAAACTTTTCTCTCCAAATGCAAACTGAATACTCTCAATATAAAAGAATGGATCCGGACAGAACAGGTAAATGTATACATGATACTATGAGAACACACCAATACCCTCCTAAAATAGTTGGTTTGTCCACACTGTCCCTGATCAGGACGGACTTCGATCTTGGCATTCACTTATCTTCTTCTCAAAATGTTATCAGTCTCAGTGCGTCTGCAGTTTCAGAACTACACTAACCAATAGAAGCTAAAAAACACTTGATTGCTGCACATGACTTTGGTTAATCTGTCATGACATGGTTGTCCTTTAACTTCTATTAATGTCATTAACGTATGGGCAAACTAACTACCGAATTGGGGCCTTAAGAATATATACAACAGGTAAGAGTGTACGCACATACTTAAACAATACGATATTCATCTTGGATGGCGGTAAACAGCATCTCCACAATAATGGTCCACATGTTTCCTGCTGATACAAATCAGGGGTGGAAATAACTTTAAAATTGCTAGTGTACTCCGGTACAGTGGCACATGTAAAATCACTTGCCCTGATAATTTTTCCACTATACCGTCCGTTTTCTTGTTGATTTTTTAAATAAACAACATAATTAATATTGGAAAGTCAACTGGACACCGGTACAGTGTGATACACAAATTTGCTTGCCCAACAGAAAAAAACACTGGACTTGGGCATCGGGCAATGGGTTATTTCCACCCCTGCAAATGACAAACCTGCTGTCATTTCACCTCTGGATAATGAGACAAAGCTGGAATGTTTTCTTCATGTTGTTTGTCTTCTGCAGAAGTAATATAATTCATGTCCTGCATCTTTTTCGAAATTTATGAATACTAATGTTTTTTTGCAACAAGATCTATATCTGTATTTACTGTTGCTGATGTTTCCATACCAGGAGAGGCTATAAGTTTGTAGACCATTAAAGTAACGTACACTAACAACAATGCTGATGGTTACAAAAATAGTGCAATATATACAGTTTCTCATTGAGAGGTCAGTATTGAGTACAACCTACATGTTGAATTTTTCTGTTTTGCATAATTTTCACAATACATTCTACTCCTTGCAGTTCTTACCCCAACAAACCGGTATGTACATGATATATGAAAATAACATAGTATCAAATCAACGCACCAAACATATCACATGGACCAATGTATAGTTTCATATCAATTCAGTTTGTAAAATGTTATATCACTGAATACAGAAAAACACAAGGTGACTTTATTGTCAAACAATATTCAAACCGAAACATTATTGAATTATTTTCCACTCTTGTAAAAATCCTGTTAAACTTAACTTCATAAAACAGAATTCACAAATCTTCAAAACCCAATGTGACTTTTAGGATTAGGACATATAACAATTTTATAAGAACAAACCTGGAATTATATCAAACCAAATTACCATGAAAATATAGATGTACCCTCAAGTAAAGATTCCACTGTATACAACTACATAATATGAAGCATAATTTAAATAAAGAAAGGTTCATTTCTCAGATCACCTAAAAGTATGTCCTTACCACTATCACACTTGTACAGTGAGACGAATAATACAAGGGAAGATCTAGCACTTAATGCAAAGTAAAAGTATGTATCTAGGTGCCTAATAATCTCCTGGATTTGTCCACTTTCCACAGGTTCTAGGAAACACAATGATACAAGGGAAGATCTAGCACTTAATGTGAAGTAAAAGTATGTATCTAGGGGTCTAATAATCTCCTGGATTTGTCCACTTTCCACAGGTTCTAGGAAACACAATGATACAAGGGAAGATCTAGCACTTAATGTGAAGTAAAAGTATGTATCTAGGGGTCTAATAATCTCCTGGATTGGTCCACTTTCCACATGTTCTAGGGAACACAACAGTATATAGCATCCAATGTTAAGCAATAGTTAGTTTAATACAAAATAAAAGTATTTAAGTGTGTAAAATTTTCTGAGCTTGAATTTCACTTTTCGCTGTGTTCCTGATCCTGGCTTGTGTCTAGTTCCAGACATGTTTCTGGCAGTGCTCCATGGCCTGAAACACAAGGACAGGTGAGTGAGGGAATGCAGGGTAAGTGAGTGAGTTTTGTTTAATGCAGTTTCACAGAGTATTTCTGTCATATCACAGCAGGTCAGCAAGTACCACAATCCAAGTACTCCTGTTACACTTCATCACACACCACAATCCAAGTACCCCTGTTACACTTCATCACATACCACAATCCAAGTACTGTTACACTTCATCCCATACCACAATCCAAGTACCCTGGTACACTTCATCACACACCACAATCCAAGTACCCCTGTTACACTTCATCACACACCACAATCCAAGTACTGTTACACTTCATCACACACCACAATCCAAGTACTGCTAAACTTCATCACATACCACAATCCAAGAACTCCTGTTACACTTCATCACACACCACAATCCAAGTACCCCTGTTACACTTCATCACACACCACAATCCAAGTACCCCTGTTACACTTCATCACACACCACAATCCAAGAACTCCTGTTACACTTCATCACACACCACAATCCAAGTACCCCTGTTACACTTCATCCCACACCACAATCCAAGTACCCCTGTTACACTTCATCCCACACCACAATCCAAGTACCCTGTTACACTTCATCACACACCACAATCCAAGTACTCCTGTTACACTTCATCACACACCACAATCCAAGTACTCCTGTTACACTTCATCCCACACCACAATCCAAGTACCCCTGTTACACTTCATCCCACACCACAATCCAAGTACTGTTAAACTTCATCACACACCACAATCCAAGAACTCCTGTTACACTTCATCACACACCACAATCCAAGAACTCCTGTTACACTTCATCCCACACCACAATCCAAGTACCCCTGTTACACTTCATCCCACACAACAATCCAAGTACCCCTGTTACACTTCATCCCACACAACAATCCAAGTACCCTGTTACACTTCATCACACACCACAATCCAAGTACCCCTGTTACACTTCATCACACACCACAATCCAAGTACCCTGGTACACTTCATCACACACCACAATCCAAGTACTGTTACACTTCATCACACACCACAATCCAAGTACCCCTGTTACACTTCATCACACACCACAATCCAAGTACCCCTGGTACACTTCATCACACACCACAATCCAAGTACTGTTACACTTCATCACACACCACAATCCAAGTACCCCTGGTACACTTCATCACACACCACAATCCAAGTACCCCTGATACACTTCATCACACACCACAATCCAAGTATCCCTGTTACACTTCATCACACACCACAATCCAAGTACCCCTGTTACACTTCATCACACACCACAATCCAAGTACCCCTGTTACACTTCATCACACACCACAATCCAAGTACCCCTGTTACACTTCATCACACACCACAATCCAAGTACCCTGGTACACTTCATCACACACCACAATCCAAGTATTCCTGTTACACTTCATCACACACCACAATCCAAGTACTCCTGGTACACTTCATCACACACCACAACCCAAGTACTGTTACACTTCATCACACACCACAATCCAAGTACCCCTGGTACACTTCATCACACACCACAATCCAAGTATTCCTGTTACACTTCATCACACACCACAATCCAAGTATTCCTGTTACACTTCACCACACTAAACCAACCAAGTATTCCTGTTACACTTCATCACACAACCACAATCCAAGTACTGTTACACTTCATCACAAACCACAATCCAAGTACTCCTGGTACACTTCATCACACACCACAACCCAAGTACTGTTACACTTCATCACACACCACAATCCAAGTACCCCTGGTACACTTCATCACACACCACAATCCAAGTATTCCTGTTACACTTCACCACACACCACAATCCAAGTACCCCTGGTACACTTCATCACACACCACAATCCAAGTATTCCTGTTACACTTCATCACACACCACAATCCAAGTATTCCTGTTACACTTCATCACACACCACAATCCAAGTACTCCTGTTACACTTCATCACACACCACAATCCAAGTACTCCTGTTACACTTCATCACACACCACAATCCAAGTACCCCTGTTACACTTCATCACAAACCACAACCCAAGTACCCCTGTTACACTTCATCACATACCACAACCCAAGTACCCCTGTTACACTTCATCACATACCACAATCCAAGTACCCCTGGTACACTTCATCACACACCACAATCCAAGTATTCCTGTTACACTTCATCCCACACCACAATCCAAGTATTCCTGTTACACTTCACCACACACCACAATCCAAGTACCCCTGTTACACTTCATCACACACCACAATCCAAGTATTCCTGTTACACTTCATCACACACCACAATCCAAGTACCCCTGTTACACTTCATCACACACCACAATCTAAGTACTGTTACACTTCATCACACACCACAATCCAAGTACCCCTGTTACACTTCATCACATACCACAATCCAAGTACTCACCTTGCACTGTATGGCATTATCTTTGCTGGCACACCAGAAGCTTGGTCCATATGAGCACTTGCCCTGCCCCAACAACTTGTGTAGCTTGTTCTGGACACCCTTCTGGCTGGTTGGACACAAGCCTATGGTCTGTTAGACAGAACATAAGGCTTAGGACAATTTCAAAAGACAAATATACTGCTGAAGCTCACATGATTATGAAGTCAACATTTTAAACATCAACAAAAGAAGTCACTTAAACAGAGCTGCTGTCAGCATATGCTATTCACATATTTTCTGAATACAGAGGACAGAAGTATTAACAAACAGAAACAAGCAAGAAACTAACCATAAATCTGAAAGTACTAATTGAACTAATAGGCTAGTGTAGACCATTTTCGCAATACATAAAGTTTACCCAGAGAGAAAATCTGAGGAATGGTAATGAGAATTTTCAGCTTTCGGTTTATAACTACAAAGGTTATATCTAAAAAAATATAACATTTTGAGCCAAACTACCAATGAGTGGGTGAGTACATATTGCTTAACACCACACCAGCAATGTTGCAGTTATTCGAAAAATGAAGTTAGACTAAATGGATTTTTTTCCAAATTCATAACAAACAAGTGTTTTGCCACTGATATGGCAATGTCCCCCGCCGCTAAAGAATGGAATATCTACTACTTTTTATTTTTGGGTCACATACAAGATGCCTGAAATGACTGGTGTCTGCATAATCCCCCAATGTAGGCTGTCAACATAATTGAAAACATTGGGTGCAATGTTTTATGAGATATCGCCTTTAAAAAGCGGTCAAAGTATCGTGGTGACCTTGAAGATAGGTCATGGTCACCCAAATAAACTGGTGTCTGTGTAATACCCCAATGTAAACTGTCACCAAATTTGAAGACATTGGGTACAACGGTCCATGAGATATCGCGTTAACAAGAATCGACGCATAGACATTCGGACGGACGCCGCTGAATATCCCCTGGTCGGCGTTGCGGCAACAATCTGAATTGACATGATAAATAGATTAAAAAAACATTTCCTAGCTACTTATCACAGAATCTCACCTTGCAGATTTGCCTGGGGTCAATGTCGCTGGCAAGAAGGTCAAGGACAAGTGGTGCGTACTGGTCAACGAAGGCCAAACACTGAAATAAGACAGAAACAGGAAAATGGGACATGTAAATAACTCACATGAAGCATTCCGATCTGTCTCTTTAGAATGCCAGGAGGTTCAAGTTCTAAAGTGCACAAGGATGGACATTGTAATACATAAACACTGAAGTAAAAAGTTAATCAAGTTATCATGTATAATCCAAGCACACATCCATTTGGTCATCTAAGTATATCACAAGCACACATTCAGTTGGTCACCTGAGTATAGTACAAGCTAGTGTTGGGAATTGGTTGAAATCTCACAATTGATGATTGCTTCATTACCAATGGACAAACATCGAAAAATAAAGTTTAGCGCCATTTTTCAGATTTTCCTATAGAGGTTGTTATTGAAAATATGTATAACATGATGCTTAATTTGCTACTTAAAAGTGATGACTAATATATCATGAACATAAACTTCCTTGAGTCTTCAACAAATATTCAGTCATATTCAACAGATTTTTCAGTTAGTGAAGTGAGTTTTCTAAGAATTAAACAAGTTTTCAGGCCCTGACAACTTCTGAAGATATGTTCCATCGTCAAGTGTTTCAAAGACTAAAACAGCAGTCATTTCAATTAATCGGAACACCACTATCACAAGCACACAACCAGTTGGTCATCTAAGTATAATACAAGCACACATCCAGTTGGTCATCTAAGTATAATACAAGCACACAACCAATTGGTCATCTAAGTATAATACAAGCACACAACCAGTTGGTCATCTAAGTATAATACAAGCACACATCCAGTTGGTCATCTAAGTATAATACAAGCACACAACCAGTTGGTCATCTAATTTTAATACAAGCACACACAGTTGGTCATCTAAGTATAATACAAGCACACAACAAGTTGGTCATCATCTAAGTATATCTCAAGCACACATCCAGTTGGTCATCTAAGTATAATACAAGCACACATCCAGTTGGTCATCTAAGTATAATACAAGCACACATCCAGTTGGTCATCTAAGTATAATACAAGCACACATCCAGTTGGTCATCTAAGTATAATACAAGCACACATCCAGTTGGTCATCTAAGTATAATACAAGCACACAACCAGTTGGTCATCTAAGCATAATACAAGCACACATCCAGTTGGTCATCTAAGTATAATACAAGCACACAACCAGTTGGTCATCTAAGTATAATACAAGCACACAACCAGTTGGTCATCTAAGTATAATACAAGCACACATCCAGTTGGTCATCTAAGTATAATACAAGCACACATCCAGTTGGTCATCTAAGTATAATACAAGCACACAACCAGTTGGTCATCTAAGTATAATACAAGCACACAACCAGTTGGTCATCTAAGTATAATACAAGCACACAACCAGTTGGTCATCTAAGTATAATACAAGCACACATCCAGTTGGTCATCTAAGTATAATACAAGCACACAACCAGTTGGTCATCTAAGTATAATACAAGCACACATCCAGTTGGTCATCTAAGTATAATACAAGCACACATCCAGTTGGTCATCTAAGTATAATACAAGCACACAACCAGTTGGTCATCTAAGTATAATACAAGCACACATCCAGTTGGTCATCTAAGTATAATACAAGCACACAACCAGTTGGTCATCTAAGTATAATACAAGCACACAACCAGTTGGTCATCTAAGTATAATACAAGCACACATCCAGTTGGTCATCTAAGTATAATACAAGCACACATCCAGTTGGTCATCTAAGTATAATACAAGCACACATCCAGTTGGTCATCTAAGTATATTACAAGCACACAACCAGTTGGTCATCTAAGTATAATACAAGCACACATCCAGTTGGTCATCTAAGTATAATACAAGCACACATCCAGTTGGTCATCTAAGTATAATACAAGCACACATCCAGTTGGTCATCTACATAATACAAGCACACATCCAGTTGGTCATCTAAGTATATCTCAAGCACACAACCAGTTGGTCATCTAAGTATAATACAAGCACACATCCAGTTGGTCATCTAAGTATAATACAAGCACACATCCAGTTGGTCATCTAAGTATAATACAAGCACACATCCAGTTGGTCATCTAAGTATATCTCAAGCACACAACCAGTTGGTCATCTAAGTATAATACAAGCACACATCCAGTTGGTCATCTAAGTATAATACAAGCACACATCCAGTTGGTCATCTAAGTATAATACAAGCACACATCCAGTTGGTCATCTAAGTATAATACAAGCACACATCCAGTTGGTCATCTAAGTATATATCTCAAGCACACAACCAGTTGGTCATCTAAGTATAATACAAGCACACATCCAGTTGGTCATCTAAGTATATCTCAAGCACACAACCAGTTGGTCATCTAAGTATAATACAAGCACACATCCAGTTGGTCATCTAAGTATAATACAAGCACACATCCAGTTGGTCATCTAAGTATATCTCAAGCACACAACCAGTTGGTCATCTAAGTATAATACAAGCACACATCCAGTTGGTCATCTAAGTATAATACAAGCACACATCCAGTTGGTCATCTAAGTATATATCTGCAAGCACACAACCAGTTGGTCATCTAAGTATAATACAAGCACACATCCAGTTGGTCATCTAAGTATAATACAAGCACACATCCAGTTGGTCATCTAAGTATAATACAAGCACACATCCAGTTGGTCATCTAAGTATAATACAAGCACACATCCAGTTGGTCATCTAAGTATAATAATACAAGCACACATCCAGTTGGTCATCTAAGTATATCTCAAAGCACACAACCAGTTGGTCATCTAAGTATAATACAAGCACACATCCAGTTGGTCATCTAAGTATAATACAAGCACACATCCAGTTGGTCATCTAAGTATAATACAAGCACACATCCAGTTGGTCATCTTAAGTATATCTCAAGCACACAACCAGTTGGTCATCTAAGTATAATACAAGCACACATCCAGTTGGTCATCATCTAAGTATAATACAAGCACACATCCAGTTGGTCATCTAAGTATAATACAAGCACACATCCAGTTGGTCATCTAAGTATAATACAAGCACACATCCAGTTGGTCATCTAAGTATATCTCAAGCACACAAACCAGTTGGTCATCTAAGTATAATACAAGCACACATCCAGTTGGTCATCTAAGTATATCTCAAGCACACAACCAGTTGGTCATCTTTAAGTATAATACAAGCACACATCGGTTAATTCATCTAAGTATAATACAAGCACACATCCAGTTGGTCATCTAAGTATATCTCAAGCACACAACCAGTTGGTCATCTAAGTATAATACAAGCACACATCCAGATTTGAATACTTTACATATCTAAGTATAACTAAGCACACATCCAGTTGGTCATCTAAGTATATCTCAAGCACACAACCAGTTGGTCATCTAAGTATAATACAAGCACACATCCAGTTGGTCATCTTAAGTATATCTCAAGCACACATCCAGTTGGTCATCTAAGTATAATACAAGCACACCCAGTTGGTCATCTAAGTATAATACAAGCTTACACACATCATCTAAGTTGGTCATCTAAGTAATAAGTATATCTCAAGCACACAACCAGTTGGTCATCTAAGTATAATACAAGCACACATCCAGTTGGTCATCTAAGTATATCTCAAGCACACATCCAGTTGGTCATCTAAGTATAATACAAGCACACATCCAGTTGGTCATCTAAGTATAATACAAGCACACATCCAGTTGGTCATCTAAGTATAATACAAGCACACATCCAGTTGGTCATCTAAGTATAATACAAGCACACATCCAGTTGGTCATCTAAGTTATAATACAAGCACACATCCAGTTGGTCATCTAAAGTATAATACAAGCACACATCCAGTTTGTCATCTAAGTATACTACAGCACATCCAGTTGGTCATCTAAGTATAATACAACCAGTTGGAGGTCATCTAAGTATAATACAAGCACACATCCAGTTGGTCATCTAAGTATAATACAAGCACACATCCAGTTGGTCATCTAAGTATAATACAAGCACACATCCAGTTGGTCATCTAAGTATAATACAAGCACACAATCCAGTTGGTCATCTAAGTATAATACAAGCACACATCCAGTTGGTCATCTAAGTATAATACAAGCACACATCCAGTTGGTCATCTAAGTATAATACAAGCACACATCCAGTTGGTCATCTAAGTATATCTCAAGCACACAACCAGTTGGTCATCTAAGTATAATACAAGCACACATCCAGTTGGTCATCTAAGTATAATACAAGCAATACACATCCAGTTGGTCATCTAAGTATAATATAAGCACACATCCAGTTGGTCATCTAAGTATAATACGAAGCACACAAACCAGTTGGTCATCTAAGTATAATACAAGCACACATCCAGTTGGTCATCTAAGTATAATACAAGCACACACATCCAGTTGGTCATCTAAATAATAATACAAGCACACATCCAGTTGGTCATCTAAGTATATCCTCACAGCACAAACCAGTTGGTCATCTAATTTTAATACAAGCACATCCAGTTGGTCATCTAAGTATAATGTTGACACAACAAGTTGGTCATCCAGTACAGGCACATTCAGTTGATCACCTGAGTATATTTACAAGCACACATCCAGTTGGTCATCTAAAGTATACCATAAGCACAACCAGTTGGTCATTTAAGGATATTATAGCGCACATTCAGTTGGTGCATTGGGTACATTATAAAGCACACATCCAGTTGGTCACCTGGAGTATATTTTACAAGAACACATCCAGTTGGTCATCTAAGTATATCACAAGCACACAACCAGTTGGTCATCATATAAGTATATCACAAGCACAATAACCTATTGGCTCATCTAAAGTATATCCCAAGCACACATTCAGTTGGTCACCGAGTATATTACAAGCACACATCCAGAGTTGGTCACCTGGGTATATTACAAGCAATACCATCCAGTTGGTCACCTGGGTATATCACAAGCACACAACCAGCTGGTCATCTAAATTATATTACAAGCAAGCATCCAGTGGTCACCTAAGTATATTATATTACACGACAACCAGTTGATC